GCAAGAGTGTCCTACAAGAGTGTCCTTTGGACATATTAGTTTTTCGATCGTGTTTGCATTCGGGTTCGTGGGTTCCATCTTGTTTTTTTCTTAATGCTTCGTCTGAGATCAGCTCTGTCTGAGATCAGCAGTTTCGTTCTTTTTCGGAAGCTTGAGCTGGGACACCAACATTGAGCAGGGTGGCCTGATTTTATTCTCCAACTATGCAGGCCCTCAAGTCGCTGATCATGCAACGTACCTGAGTCCCCGATTGAAAGACGTCCAGCGGCCAACGCAGGGACATGGAGATTTCAGGCTTAGAAGCTCAAGCAGTCAATTGGACAAGGACTAGCACAGCCCCTAGGAAGCATCCCAGAGGCCACACTGGAGGAGCTGGCTAATATATCAGATCCTATGCAGGGGACACCTGTCAGCAGTGACCCTGCCACTCCATCATACAGCCCCTTTGGAGCACCGGAACAGGAGGCAGCCACTGCAGAAATTGATTTTGCTACCGAGCACACAGAAACTGAGCAAGCTGGCACCGCAGCTACCGATTTAGGACTGGCAGCAGAGCAAGTGGCTATGCGTGCTATCTATAGCTAACTGCTTGCCTTCGTGGAGCAGGGCCACCCGCCGTGCGCTTTCATCCCAAAAGAACTCTTGGCCCTATATGCTAATCCCCTGTTCTGGCAATACGGTCTCCTTGCATTCGTCTCAGGGTGCTGTGCCTCTAACATTGACCTGCTCAAACGCGCAACTGAGGCAAAAACGGATCCCGCCAAACAGGAGGACACTATCGAGAGTGAAGTTGATGCACTAACATTTATGCAAGCTGTCATCATGTCCTTCGTGAGAGGAATGACCGATGGACAGCAAGAGCTCCCCATCAATGACCTCTTCGTCTACCTCCCAGTGTACTCCCTGGCTTTCCGGTAGGCACCTACTACCAGGAAAGGGTTGTCTTCTGCTCGTCCCTTGTTTTGTTAGTGCGGTATCCCCATCCACTTTTCAGCTCTCTTGGTTGATACTGATGGTCAATAATTGACTGAACTAGATGAAATACAATAATGATCCACAAATGCCCGCAACACCGTGGACGGAAAGGGCCTATGTATCAAGGCCACTCGACCCTTCACTGGGTCAGTCCATGTCATTCCCATCCTTGCCCCAGCTGAAGCTTCGCTTGGAGGTCCCTCTCTGGACTGATCTCAGTGAAACCAGATACCCCCCACCACACCCTCACTCTGGTGAGTCAGCTGCTGATTCAAGCATCACAGGCGCAAGGGAACCTTCGCCAATGTATGCGCAACCGGTGGGAGGGGCAGACAATCAGCGATGACCCAATATGGGAGGCTTTGCAAAAGAACACGCAGTTTACCATAGTGCTTCGTGATTGCCTCGCAGTTCTTCACTCGAAGGAAAGCTTCGACGAAGGTCCATATCGAGATATCCCACAAGCGGTCAGAGTTCCAATGAACCTGGCAGGAATTATTCCCGCTGGTGCCTTTGTCGCTGTGCCGCGCTTGCGTCATGTCAGTGTAGAAGCAGGCATATGTGCCATTGGAGCTGAAGCCTGGCAAAGCTGCCGACATCTTCGGGTGGTCAGAATGCCTAGTACAGTGGTGCGAATTGCGGATAACACCTTTCGAGGGTGCCAGCTGCTCAACAGCATCACAGCGCCAGACTGTGTAGAATTTGGGTACAAAGCATTTGCGGACTGTTGCTCCTTGCAGTGGGTTCATGCTAATGGGGGGGGGGCTAACCAATTTGGAAGTGCAACCAAATTGGGACACTACCTCTTTCGAGATTGTATCAGCTTAGCCACGTTTGTCCTTCTGGAGGACGGCCGCCAACAGGAGCCACAGACTCAGGCTGGGACTAAAGAGTTGCTGCCGGGATGTCTGCGCTCCACTGGAATCACTACACTGGAGTTAACTCGAGATTTCCAAGTGCTGGGTGCACATGCCTGTGACAACTGCAAATTGCTTAAGCAGGTAGATATCTCGAACGCAAGCATTGAGGAAATCCAGGAGTTCACTTTTGTGCACTGTGCCAGCCTCCGTGAGGTCAGACTGCCGTATTCATTGCGTACCATCAGAGTTAAAACTTTTATGAACTGTGCTGCATTACCAGAACTTGCTATCCCGCCCTCACTGCATTACATTGCCAGTAGGGCCTTCCTGGATTGCGCATCACTTTGTAGGCTCATAAAACTCCCAGGCCGAAAAAACCACATGGCGGGGGACTTATGCAGAGGAAAATGCCTTCGCCATTTGCCCTGCCATGCGATGGCCGCAGTGGCTGCACATGATCCCGGACCAAGGCTATGTGTCGGGCTTAGCCTAGCTCGCCCACCCATACTTACGGCGGTTAAACAAACGTCTCACTTGCCACTGCTGTCCAGGCAAGCTGGATCAGCTGCTCGCCAAGTTCGTCTCCACACCTTGCTGTTTAGTGAGCCGACCTGGCTGTGCGCCTCAGCTCTTGGCCGGAGATTGGCGCGCGGCAGTAGAACTGTAGACGATTGCTGCCCAGGTGAGAACCTCAGTTCTTTGTCTGTGGGAGGCAGCACTCAGCCAATCTTGTACAAAGATGGCGCAAGGACCATGCTAGGATATATTTTGGTTTCACCTGTTTCACCAGGGCCATGCATGTCCGTGGATAGTGACCTTTGATGACCGCTCTATCCATCTCATTTTGCAATGTGCACACCCCCCAGGCTCCTCCCGCTTATTGCCCGGGAGCCATTTGGGCGGGCGTGTGATGCCTCCCCCCTGCTTGAGGGAGGTCAGTAGGTTGCCTGCAGCCGCACGTTCGTTGCGATGTCCATCACCTCTGTTTCCCAGTCTGGCCACAGCCTCCTTTGCTCGTGCAGTCATTTGTAGTGGTTGTGCCATAGAAAGGCTGTTTTCCAAGTCCTGCAAAGCATTGCAACTTGATGACCTGTAACGATCATCTTGGACCTGATGTGCTGCGTATTATTTGCACCAGCTGCTCTGCTAGTCTTCGAACAAGACTGAAGTGCCTGCAACCGAACCTGACAAGGGTGACTTTTCCCCTTGTCTGCGCACGAAGGCCACCGTTGAATGGCCTTCAAGGACAACAGCCAAAGTCCTGATACAGCATACTGCCTACGTCGAGAATTCGGGCCCAACTAGTTAGTACGACGCTCTCTCATGTTTCACACGTTTCACCTTAGTACAGACGAAACTCTGCCCACATTGGTTGTTGGGGTCCTTTGGCGCTGGTGATTTTTGGGGGTTGTTTTTGGGGGTTTGGGCTTGTTTGTGTGTTTGGTTTTTTGTTTTTCGGTTTGCTCCCCTTACCAATATGCAGAGTTTCCATCCTTCCTATGATGACCTGGGCACACCGCCCAGATGGCGTCCGTACTCGTGGAAAAAAAGACAAGCTCCAGCTCACACCCAAAGGTGCTATGCTTGCCTATGAGCGGGAGGCTCTCGAGTACCGCATTCTCAAACTCGCTAAGGCGATCAAATTCCTGTAGTTCGATGGCAGCTGGATTTCATCCCCAGCCAAGGTAACCATGTCTGCTTCCCCACCCGGTCCACTATAGCAGCCTTTTGCCCGGCGCCGTTGCAGCAATTGAGTTTCGAACACCTCATAGAGCGGCCCACTGCCGAAGTCCACATTGGATGCCAGGTCGGAAAGGTCTACCGCCTCGTTCTACAGAATCGTGAAGGTGTGTGTGCGGTATTAGCCGTTCTTTTGGCATGTGCTACGCAAGCCAGGCGTAAGTCAAACCGCAATGGGCAGGAGTCGTACCAAGACAAAGTTAGACGGCAAAGCAGTCCTCGCTCATGGGAGGTCGCCCTTGTCCCTTCCCTGGTGATTTCGCGCCGCTTCCCACTCTGCAAGAAACCGGTGCTGCACAAGAGGCTCAGTGGGACTTCCCTCCAAGCCTTCGTGATCTGACATCTAGAGCGGTTAGTTTTCAGCTCCTTGCACTGGCCGAAGTGGGCAACACAGTCACGGCAGACCATCTTGTGCAAATGGCCACAATTCCACCGGAGCACAAATCCACCGCATTGGGAATACCAGCGCACCTGCCCATCCCATATCAGCTCGACTGCTCTCGAGCCATGCTTCAGAGCCTGCACTTGCTGTTTGACACAGCGAGTGCGGTTGAATCGAGACATGTTTTGGCATGTTACAGATCCTACACAAAGAGATCCTAGAAGCAGTTGCTTTGCTGAGTAGAAAGGCGTGGATGCACTTGAGCGTGCACCCACAAGGCAGGGTGTTAGATTCGTTCTGACTGAATCAAGATGACACATGAGTACAGAGCGCAGTTCACAAACACTCAACTGCAGTGGCTTTGATCTCAAGAGAAAAAAGGCTGCAGCCATGTTTTGACACTTGTATGATCAAACTTATGATCATGAATAGTTCCTAAAATACATTTTTAGCTTTTTGTTTTCCGCAACCTTTTGCCCGAATGGTTTGGGAACGAAGGCAGCGTGAACGGACATTGATTGAGGGGGGCTCAACCGCCATGTGCGAAGTTGTATGTGAAAGCAGTTGAAACATGGGGATTGATGCAACTGGGTATACAGTCAATGGCATCATCTCAGTTGGATCCCAAATACGTGGCTGAAAACACTTCTGGGGCCCTCGCTTCTGTTTTATTCTTGAACCATATTTTTGGCGAAGCATATACCTGGCGCAGATGTCCGATGCTTGGATGCAGGCGTTTTGTGTGGGTTCAGGCGAAAACCATTCGCAAGCCAAGGTTCAGTGCAAATGCCGGAGGACAAAAATCTACACTATTCTGAAGATCCTTGGACCCTCCATAGGTCAAGTCCTATATCACAAGGCTTTGTACCCTCAAAGCCCTTGTTTTCGAAACAGCGCAACTGTCCAAGCTCTTAAATGACCATCGGCATCATAACACGACAGCATCATCCAACAAAAGTTCTGAACTTGGGTTGTTCACCACACACGAAGAACGCTTCAGACAGTGCAGAAAGGGTTAAGCCGAAGGAATGCATCGTGAGACAACTAAATGAACCGTTCACCCTAAAGGTTCGTTTGCTGTGCGCAATGGCTTTGTTTCCTCCTTCTCGTACTCCACTGGCCTGCACTGAGTGTGGTAGCCGATTCTTCCTGCAGGATGAGGACCAGGATATGAAGGTTTGCAGCTCGCACCTTGGACCTTTCAGCGTTTCCTTGCCGTTGTCCTTTTTATGCCAGCGTTTTGGAGAACACACGCATGATATTGACTAGTTGCTTCTTGTTACTGGTAGTAAGGCCAGGAACCCCGTTTGTAGCGTCCTTGCTCCTAGTAGCGATGCCCTTTGTTACTAGTAGCTTCTTGATATTGACTAGCAAACATCTCAAACATGAGGAACCAGGGTTTCTAGGTCACCAGTGACGGAGTGCCCAACGGTGGTGGGCCTAGCTCGAAGTAGTGTAACTGACATATTGACTGCGAGATGTTCTCTTCAACAGAAGATACCAAACCAGAGTTTTGGTTGACTTGAAGATACCAAAATGGAAGGCTCTATGAGTTTTTTCTATTTTAATTCAAGATACCAGAATGGCAACCTAGAGCAAACGGAAGCTAATAGGAATGGCCTCCAACCTCATAGCGATGGCCTCCAACTTGCTTAAGGAGCTTGTAGCTACTTAAGCTAAAGACTTGCAATATTTTTTGTTGAGCAACCTTGAGATGTTTACCATTGAATCTTCTAGTAAGAAGAAGCTACCCAGGACGTAGGACGGGCATCGACACTACGTTCACGTCACGTGGTCCGGGGCATAGGACGCTACGTTCGTCGGTTTCGGGCCACGGGGTTTCGGGCCGACAGGTGCGGAGCTACACAGACTCAGACACTTCTGGAAGTGAGCGAGGAGGTCTTTGAGACACAGCAAGTGAAGGGCGTTCAGTTCTTGCAGCAAGAGGACCAGAGAGTGGACGGAGAGAGGAGAGAGGAGAGAGGACCGGCACCTGGAACGGTTCTTGGAGAATGGAACTGTTCAGACGACAGACGATACTCTGACAGAAGATGGCACTTCGGACATGCAAAGAGCGACCTGTCTCCGTCGTTGGTTCACGACGCTCCGCCGCTGGGGACGGGGACGGACAGACGTTCTTCGCTTCAGACGGGGATGATGACATCAACATATTGAAGACTTAGGTTTAGGGTTTAGGGTTTAGGATGAACTCATCCCTTAAGGATAAGACAAAGTCTAAACCTTTGTCTTGTTCTTTGTCTGAAATAAGACTCCTTTTCGAAGCCGTTGCATTGCTCCACGCCCATTTATATATACATACACAGGTGTAGGTAAGCTGGGCAGGGAGAGAGAGAGAGAGAGCTCGTCACAAGCCGAACCATCGCATGAATCACATTGAACAAGGACATAAGCACAACAGACCGAAAGCAAACTCCATCACACACATATGCCGAAAAGATGAAGTACCATACCAGGTGCCAAACAAGCAGATTCCTAGCAGGAACCAAAGGTACTCTATGCCCCGTCGACCTGTACTGTGCATGTCAACCTGGACACAGGTGTCACAGGGGAGTTCAGCAACTTCAACAAGTGACCCAGCCAGCAACTCTGCACTGGATCGTCCCGACACAGTACCCTGCAATCCTTTGGCTCTGACAGTACTCACGAATCCGGCATCGCGGTTCATCTTCATCGCAGTGGTTGCGTCTGCAATTCTGGATTCTTGTTTCCAGGTGATTCTCCGTTTCATATTGAAATTCTTATGCCTCAAATCGTCCCTGCTCAGGCATTCTTGCCATTCCCAAATTTGGAGGAATTGCCTGTTTTCCGAAGAGCCAAGTTTGATATGCTAGTCAAAAATATGATGCTTTTGATGCAACTCCCATTCCAGATGTGGCACCTAATTAGTTGCATGGTTGATGCGTTTGTGTGTATGTATATGGTTTACACTTGACATCATTTGACAATTTGACTGCTTAGAAACACCCAAGCAACATACTGTTCTTTCTGCTATCCTTGTCACCTTCTCTGGACTCTTGTATGGGTTTTCCTTCAGTCACCACCGGGAAGGTACTGGGTAGGCCTGCTTCCTCCGAAAAGCCATTGTGGGGGAAATCGGTTTTCCCACTAACCAAGAGTAGGTGGAAAGGGAGTCAGCCGCACATCAGGTCCGTGGACACCCCCAGACACTCCGCAGACCTTGCTTAAAGACATTACTTAGCTTTTTTCTTCTAAAGACAGGTGGGCCAACCGAATAGCCATGGCCTCCTGGATGTGAAAACCACACCGCAAACCCACCCAAAACCGGCACCACCCGCTACGTAGTCACCGTCAGGAGGACTACGCGGGTCGCACGAGCCTCAGCGCCTTGGAGCAGATGAAAAAGCGATTGGACGAAGAGACAAGTCCAGATGTCCATCGACAAGTCCAAGCAGCGGCGAACCGGAGCGCAAGGGGCCTGGGAGCGGAGTGGAGAGAGGGGGGGGCCGGTTCGGGGCGCAACGTAGGTCCAAGAACGAAGAACTCACGGCTTTTTGGAAATCCGTACGTTGCAAACGCATTTTTGCGATTGGGATGTGGTACTACATGATTCATGCCTGTTCGATGCTGGGGTGTTCGTTCAGCTGCCAGATGAGTCAGTGCACCGTTTCTGCACGACCTGTACTGTGCATACGAAGTTTGATTGTACTGAGTTTTCTATTCTTTCTTTCTTTTTTGTCATGGCGTCTGCTCCACCATTCAGACTTTGTTCAGCAACAGAACTACTTGCATGCTAGATGTGTTCTCTTGGGGCTACACAGTTCTTTCCTCCATGATGCCAACCTTTGCACGATCGTTTCAGTGAGAGATATGCAAGATGTCTACTATCCTGACAATCTGTTAGCAGGACGGTTCCTGACAGGATCGCAACCAAGGACACCGACAGGATCGCCACATATACATGATACTTGTTCCAAAGGGTTTCTTCACCTGGCGGTAGGTGCCAAGTGTCCCGGGATCCGTTACTTGATGTGGCCTGTATGCAGCAGCTGCACGGATTCGGCAGACTGCTTGCGTCCAGCTAAGAAAGTCCGTTCTGGCTGTCAGATATCCATGGTAGACAGCCATGCTGCAGGGTTGCTGGATGCAGATGTTTTTTTTTAAAACACACTTCTGTGGTGAGCTTGGGGCACCAACCACTGGGGCAGCAACCCGCAGTGAATTCTTCAAATGGGTGATTCACAACTCATTTTTGGCTTCGCGGGCTGAATGCCACCCCAGATGGTTTCTGGGCTTCCGGAAGGTCACAGGAAACCTCTCCCAACAGGCAACCTCAGCCCGAATCACCTTTGGGGAGGGGACAGTGGATGGCCTCCGACCTAGAAGCAAAAGGAACCTGACCTAATGGCAATGGCCTCCAACCTACTACCAATGGCATCCAACCCAATAGCGATGGCCTCCAACCTAATGTGAATGGCCTCCCTCCAACCTACTAGCGACGGCCTCCAACCCAATCAATAGCAATGCCCTCCAACCTAGAACCTAGAAGCAATGGCCTCCAACCTACTAGGGATGGAAGCAATGGCCTCCAACGTACTAGGCCGGCTCCATCCTATTAGCGAAGAGTTTAATTGCCTGTGGGTCATGGCAGGTTCCAAACAATCAAAGCCTCTTCCACCATGAGACAGCAATTTCTAGTTTGGGACGCTTCAACTTCTCAAGGCCAGTCAATGGTCAGGGGATCATCATCTCACTTCGTGGATGTTGGCAACATTTCTTTGGAAAGAGATCTTGAGAACGGCTGCGGGCTGCGCGGATGCAAGGGACTTGTGGTGGCAGGGTACGGATTGGTTCTCAAGATTGTATCGTAGGCCACTTTTGCTGGGGATATAGACGGATATAGATGATGTACACATATATCACGAAAGTCGGCCGATAGGCTGGGCTTGAGGTTCTTGAGCGAACGAAGTGAGTAAAGGGGGTGTGGGCAGGGTGGTCGCGTGGGTGGTCACTTCCGGAGAGGTGAACCCAGAGCCTGGTGGAGGAGAGCGACAAAAAGAGGCGGGCCACTTGGTAGTGAAAATGAATTGTTTTTGGGGGTGTTGTGATGCCGGTGATGTAATTGACGGCCAGTAATACATCATCAGCATCATGCGGGGCTCAGGAGGCCATGTAAATTGTTTTTACTAGGGGTGGGAGTTCACGTCGATGAGAGGAAAGGGAAGACAGGGGGACGTGAAAAGCTGGTTAGAAGTCACCGTATACTTGAGAGCAGGAAAGAGAACAGATTGCAGTTGCGGGCAAGCGTTGGAGGCGGAAGGTTTTGAGTTGCTTAGGGGTGCCCTTTTTTTATCCGTGGCAAGGTCTAGTTGGTGGACTCAAAAGGGCACCCCGTATGGGGAGTATCTAATCACGAAAGCCTGCCCTTTTTCACCTCCACAACGCCCCGGCATCAAGACGAAAAAGGGACACCCCGTCGCAAACCTATGTACTGTAATTCTACTGTCTATTTCCATTCTATCTCGAATGACGGCCATATTCTTATTTCATTACTTGCGGCTCCTCTTTGTCCACTCTACCCAAAAACATATATGTATCCTCACGAAAGCCTGCCGATAGCCTCGCCCATCGGCTTCTCACAACCATTTTTGCTCACTGACTAGCAAGACGCAGCAAGCAAACTCATATACAAGCAGTTCCCGGGCAAGCCGGCGGGGAAGTTTCCTGTAACAATGAATTTGACCTTTAGGAGTGTCCCTGCGCACATGCCCTGCGGACCCCCTTTTGTTCCGGCGCGCAACGATGGTGTCATGCAAGCAGCCCACAACGGCGTACTCGCTCTGGCACTGTGCATGTAGTGGCACTGGCACGAATTCCTCTCGCTTCGAGGTTCACAAAGTGCTGGTCCTGCCACGAAATCTGCACTTCGAGGTTCACAAAGTGCTGTGCCTGCCACGAAATCTGCACTTCGAGGTTCACCAAGTGCTGTACCTGCCGCGAAATTTGCACTTCGACGTTCGCCCAGTGCTGTGACTGCCACGAAATCTGCAAACAAGCCACATATCCAAAAGTCACGATTCACTGCACCTGTCACGAAATCTGAGCTCCGTGTCCAAAGTGCTGCGCCTCCCACGAAAACTGCATTTCGAAGTAAAACAGCTCCGAACCTGTCACGAAAAGTCGACTTCGAAGAGCCAAAACACGAGGTTTCTCCTGCGCCTGCCACGAAAAGTGACCACCGTGTGCGAAAATGTGCACGGCGCCACAACGAGAGCACAGTCGTTAGAAGTACCCGCCCACTAGTTACGATGGAGGGACGATTCGAGCATGATCCGAGCATGACGCGAAGCCATTCCGCAACCGTCGTTCCGCAGAGCTAGCCTTGCCAGGTTCGGAACCACCCTTTGCATTGAAAAACGCAGCATTCCCTGCCGCTATCTCTCGAACGCATTTTGTACTGTGCCTGCCACGAAATCTGCGCATCGAGGTTCATAAAGTGCTGCGCCTGCCACGAAATCTGCGCATGGAGGTTCGCAAAGTGCTGTGCCTGCCACGAACTCTGCACATGGCTGTTCACAAAGTGCTGCACCTGCCACGAAATCTGCGCATCGAGGTTCACAAAGTGCTGCCCCTGCCATGAACTCTGCACATGGATGTTCACAAAGTGCACATTGAGAGGTTCACAAAGTGCTGTTCCTGCCCCGGCATCTGCGCATCGAGGTTCACAAAGAGCTGCGCCTGCCAGGAAATCTGCGCATTGAGGTTCACAAAGTTCTGCGGCGCCTGCCACGAAATCTGCGCATGGAGGTTCACAAAGTGCTTGCCTGCCACGAACTCTGCGCATGGATGTTCGCAAAGTGCTGTGCCTGCCACGAAATCTGCACATCGAGGTTCACAACGTGCTGCGCCTGCCATGAACTCTGCGCATGGATGTTCACAAAGTGCTGTGCCTGCTACAAAATCTGCACATCGAGGTTCACAAAGTGCTGTTCCTGCCACGACGTCTGCGCATCGAGGTTCACAAAGTGCTGCGCCTGCCACGAAATCTGCGCATTGAGGTTCACAAAGTGCTGCGCCTGCCACGATCACACTTCAAGAAACAAGTGAAAACTCTAATTAGAATGGAGGGACGATTTGAGCATGATCCGACCATGATCCAAGCATGACGCGAGGCCATTCCGCAACCGTCGTTCCGCAGAGCTAGCCTTGAAAAAGATAGCATTTCGCGCGTCCGGCCGCTATCTCTCGAACATGCATTTTGTACGAGACTTCCTTCCAAAGTGCATGTTGAAGAGCTGTTATAGAGCCAACTAAAGCTAGAGCTGACTGGAGGAATAGGAGTAGTAGTGGTAGTAGCAGTAGCAGTAGCAGTAGCAGTAGCAGTAGCAGTAGGAGTAGTAGTAGTAGTAGTAGTAGTAGTAGTAGTAGTAGTACCAGTAGTACTAGTAGTACTAGTAGTACTAGTAGTGGTAGTAGTAGTCGTCGTAGTAGTAGTAGGAGTAGGAGTAGTAGCAGTAGTAGTAGTAGTAGTAGTAGTAGTGGTAGTCGTAGTAGTAGTAGTAGTAGTGGTAGTAGTAGTAGTAGTAGTAGTAGTATATTGTATGTTGTATGTATGTCGTAGTAATAGCTTTTGAAAGTTCGTAACACGGAAGTTTTGCTGCACACTAAACTTCCTTTGAGTATATTTGAGGATTTTGAGGGGTGCTCTTTTTCATTTCCAAAACACTCCTGGACCTGGACGAAAAAGGACACCACCCCTTTTAATTCTACCTTCTGTTTCTACCTCCTATCGGGTGCCTGCGACCCCAACTTCACCCCATGAAAGTACTCTTTGCCCGATGTTAGCCATTCACTTCATCTTGCACGCTCAAGTGGCTCCAATATCAACTTCACCACTTCGGGCTACTCTTTGTCCACTCTACCTATATACATATATGATACATATGTGTATCCGCGCCATAGCCTGCCCATAGCCTCGCTCACTGATTTGCAGTGCCCTTTTTCACCTCCAAAACGCCCCTGAAACGGGACAAAAAAGGGCACCCCCAAAGCCCCGGTAAACAAGGTTTCAAATTGTTGGAGCGAACGAAGTGAGCATATGTCCTCGCGAAAGCCTGCCGATGGCAACCGTCTCTGGACACTCATTACCAACACGCAGCTGACGAACTCGCTTGCAATCTTTGGGGGTGCCCTTTTTCACCTCCAAAACATTCCTCAACCAGAACGAAAAAGGGCACCCCCTTTTTACTTCTAGCGTCTGTTTCCACCTCCTATCACGCGCCGGATGCCAACTTCACCCCGTATTCTTTACATAATGTTAGCCTATCACTTCATCTTCCACCGGCACGTCGCTCCCATATCCACCTCACCACTTCCTGCTGCTCTTTTTTCCACTCTATCTTGCACCCCGGGGACCTCCTCACCTGCCCTACCCTTTGCCTCACACGTGCACCCCCGCCGCCGTCTCTGCTCCCTGGTTCGCCACACGCCGCCCGCAAAGGCGCCTCACTTCCTGACGGGTGCCCTTTTTCATCCCAAAATTTTCCCTAAACAAGGACAGAAAAGGGCGCCTCCCCCCCAAGTGGCTGCGATGCCAACTTCGCACTACGAACTTTCTCTTCCTTTTGCACGCCGCGTCCTTGCCCGAGCCTACCCTAAGAGCACCCCCTAAGCCAGAGGTTGGCTTTCGTCCCCTCCCCTCTCAGGTAGATTGGGTGTTTCGGACCGCCGGCCCCTGAAGCTCTTGCTCGGGCCTATCGACACCCCAATACGGGGGGGGTCCGGGGGTGGGTTTCCTGTATTGAAACGGACTCGGAACGAACCCTCCAAGACGCACGGTTTCAGGTTTCGGAGGCACTTCTTGTGTCGGTTTCCAAAAAGAAGGGAACAATTCTTGGGTGTAAAGACACAGCCCTTTTTTGGAAACATCTACAGTTACGTCTACATCAATCTACAGGAGGGTTGGAGATGCTTTTGCGATTTTAAAGGAATTCTTGTCATCTTCTTGACCTTGCCGGAACATGTGTGTCTTCACTCCCAGCTTCTCCCTCCTCTTTGTTGCTTCGGCACGGAATCCACGGTGGGCCCCGCGAGTGAGGCGAGGAGAGACTGAACCTGGTGACGTTGAACCGCCACGGTCGCAGCCTTTGGTTGGCCTTCTTCGAGGCTTCAAGGCCACAACCGTACCACACCAGCTATGAGATGAGAACAGAAAAGGAGTGGTACCATTTGGCTTGGTCTCAGCACGAAAGAGATGCTTGACTGCCTGTCAAACCAGTTGAGATGGTTTGACCATCCAGTCTTTAACATTCCAAGTTTGAGGTTTAGGGGCTTTTCTTTCAGGTTACTTTCAGATGCCCATCTCACTTTTGAAGACATCGACAGATGTTCAATATCCAAGGACTTGATCAAAAAGGCTATGCTGCAGGATTCTCAGGAGCTTCACGCTGAGGCCCGTGCACAGGCACAGGTGGTGGTGCACGATGGAGATGAGGCAGAGAGAGAGAGAGAGAGAGAGAGAGAAGCTGAAGTAAGCTTCAGTCGCCCACTTTCCACGGTGTTTGCACCCGTTTGTTGTTGACGTTTCGGGACCGGACTGGAAAAACCGAGGCAGAGGTGGACGGCCATGTGAAGCTGAAAGAGAGGGTCAAAGAGATCCGAGAAACGAACAGATACAGATTAACCTTAAGCGGTCCGATGGTCCTGGCTTTATTGTACTTGGCAGTGAACAACTGTGGTGTCAAGCCCTTTCTACTGGGCGATTTGCTCCGGGCGGCTGCCGACGGTTGGTTGAGACCTTTGATCTGTCGGATTGAGACCTTGCACGCTGATCAATATATCCTTTATTCCAACCAGAGCCGTCACTTGGTGGTTTGCGGAGATAGGATTGTTTCATTCTTCATGTTCCCCAATTCATCTACGGATGAATCCCCTTAATTAAACTAGGGGGGAAGAGAACAGTAACAGACTGTATATGTTCATGTTGTTTATTTTTCAGCTTCTGGACTCGACGATCCATCCAGGTCCGGTTCAGAAACCCATCGTCTTCCCCGAGGTGGCTGTTTGCCTTGACGAGTTGGAGGCTCGCCAATTTCCTTGTGTGCGTCTTGCGCCCCAACAGCTGCTCCGTCGATTTGGAGAGAATATCGGCAGAGCAGAGCAGGATGTCATGCTTGTGGCCAACTTCGTGTTTGGGCCGGGAGGTTGGACGTACTTTTGTAGATTATACTTTTTTATTTGTGAATCCCAAATCTTTGGAACAGGTAGTTAGGTTAGAGGCCTTATGTTGATACCAGGTATGTCGCATAGCCATTGATCTGGAGATGTGGCCAAAATGCTCATACGAAGACAAGATGGACCTCATGATAGTGCTACTGACGTCACCCTCGTCGGTCCTCTTTGCCGAGCTGGTGGCTTTAGTGTCAGTGCTGGCCGCTGTCTGGATTCTAGAGCGAAAAGTGCCAAATGCGAAGAGAAAGAGGAGAAAGTCCCCGAAGGCTCAGAAAGAGGAGAAGGAGGAGGGAATGGAGAAAGAGACAAACGGAAGGCAAAACGATGCCAAGAAGGAAAGGAATGCCCAGAAGGACACGAAGGTTGGAAAGGACGAGGACAAGAAGGACAAGACGAAACAGAAAATGAAGGAACAGAAGAACGATGCCGAGAAGGCCAAGGTTGTTAAGAAGGCCAAAGCCAAAGAGGCCAAGGCCAAGGTTGAGATCAAAGAGGAAGCTCACGAAGCTGAAGAGCACGGCTCGAACACGCACCTCGCTGCTCCGGTCTGCGCCCCCAAAGCGGGTCACGAAGCCCCGCACGAAGCTGTAAGGCCAAGGCCGTGTGCGGGACCCTTTATGAGAACGGTGCAGGACCTGATGCACAGAGGCTTCCAGCCATTGGAAACGAGTGAAGCAACGGGTGAAGCAACGGGTGAAGCAACGGCCGATTTCGAGGATCCAGAGGATTTCGATCCAGAGAATCCATGGATCCACTGGAGGCGTGAAGGCATTTGGAGCGCAAGTGATCTCAGAGCGGTCCATCAGCACTACTCCGCATCCCTTCAGTTCCAACCATGGAACCTGTTGCGCCTTCGTGTCCTCGCCGAGCAGGGCACGTGGTTTTGGTGGGGCCAGGTCGGACGTCCGCTGATCCGAACCTCGGCGATCCGAGCTGGTCCGATCGAGCTGGTTGCCTTTCCAACCACCGAGGGGTCGGCGATTCTGGAGTCGAATGGTTGTTTGGGCACCATGCGGTGTGGGAAAGGCCTTGAACGGGGGGGGGCGGAGGGTGAGGACTGAGGACTGAGGACTGAGGACCTGAATGGAAGCATCGGCCCACACTCCCATCTTGAGGTCACAACATCGGATCTTCCAACGCAGACGAAGCATTTCCCTTTTTCATCTAGAAAACCGGCATAAACCAGCCAACAGGCTGGATCTAACGGGCAGAGACTTTGCACAGTTGGGAGTCTGATCGGATCAGCTTTTCCCCAAACAGTTTACTGTTGGGGTTCGTAATGCTTTTAAGTGTGTCCGCCTCAGTCTGGGCTGGTGTACCCGCCTTCTGGCAACTCTTTAGTAACTTTAGTTAGAAATTCAGCTGGTGGGTCCGCCTTGTGTGTCTCCTCTTTGGCAACTCCTTAGTAGCAATTCTTTGCAACTCCTGGGCAGCAACCTAGTGGCATGTGTTTGACACTCTTCGCTAGTGTGTCCGCCTTATGGCAAGTCCTCCATAGTCGTTCTTTACATTCTTGCCTCTCAGTTGGCAAATTGATAGCAGCAAATCTTTGCATTTGTCCGCCTTCCTTCTGACAACTGCGTATAGTGGCAATCTTTTTGGCACTTGCCTGCCAGTCTGGAGTAATGAGTCCACCTTCTGGCAACTCCTTAGTAAAAGTATCTATTTTGTTTCCTCTGGGGTAGCGTACCTGCCGGCAACTGCAAACCACATGTGCCTCCGGGCCAGTGTGCCCGCCTTGTGGGGATTTGCCCCAATAGCAGTTCTCACAATTACTGACTCCCAGTTTGGGCTGCGTTCCAATTGTCAATTTTCGAGATGCATTTCTTCACGGTCAACTGTTTGGGGTGTACGGTGGTGTTGTTATGTTTTTCTTTTTGATGCTTTCAGAAGGACCATCGGAGACATAGAGAGAGCGAGCGTGTGGGGGGGTGCGCTAGAGATCAATGAATCCACTAGGCTCCTCCGGGCCCCCCCCCTAACAGCGGCCTCTTCCCCTAACAGCGCGATGGCAAACCACCGATTCCACCGCCTCGAACTAGGAATGCTCGAGTTTGTCATCACCCAGTCTTGTAGGCTGGGCTTTGTGACCTGGGAGGAAGCGGAGCGGCATGAGCATTGCTCCTGGGTGCTGAAGGGCAGCTCTGCGCCCGTGCGCGGCCGAGAGGAGACGTTTGTGGAGACGCAACTCCACGTTTTCAAAGGATTTCTGAACAAGAACTTTATGGATGAACTGGGCCGAAAACCTCGGGGAAAGTCGACGCGCCGAGCGAAGACCGACGGGGTTCTTTCGGGCGACGCGAAGGTACGGGAGTTGGTTCGGCAGAGAGCCAAAGCGAAGCTCTGGTGCCAAACATTTTGCAGTCACAAGCCACCAGAAAAAGAAATGAAGGTAACTTGCTTTAAATTTGGCTTGTTCGTGTAATTGCCCAGATATGTCCTGCAGCTTCAAAGACTTCTTTGAGAGTGGTTTGTCCAAGAGTCTGCCAGGAAGCGCAGGAACAGCAGGCAGACGGAACTTGAAGCCACAGAAACAAACCTAGGCAGAGGGGACCATGTTGCCTTCGAGTCATCCAACCTTCTGCAATTCTTTCTCAGTGCCGCTCGAGTTGTCCATATTTTCGATGAGTCCTGCGCGCCGCTTCGTTTTTCTTGCTCAAGATGTCCAAGCGCGCGCGGCGCTTCTCGCGACTGAAGTGAATGGGCGAGATTCGGGAATTCTGGGACGGAAAGTCTACTAGGAGCAAGGACGCTACTAGGGCTCCTGGCATCGCTACTAGGAGCAAGGATGCTACTAGGGGCTCCTGGCATCGCTACTAAGAGCAAGGATGCTACTAGGGGCTCCTGGCATCGCTACTAGGAGCAAG